CAGTCAAAACAGGATATTAAGTTTGAACTCTTAAGAAAAAGTATGGCCAGGTGGTAGTGGAGCACGCCTTTAATCCTAGCACTTGGGAGGCAGAGGCAGATGGATTTTTGAGTTTGAGAGTTCGAGGCCTGCCTGGTCTACAGAGTGAGTTCCAGGACAGCCAGGGCTACACAGAGAAACCCTATCTTGAAAAACCAAAAAAAAAAAAAAAAAAAGGTACGGAACACAGAGAAATAACAGAGAGTCTAAACTCGTAAACTCGACACATCTTCATAGATGTTCCATCTTAGAACAGTGAGTTTAAACAAGTCTAAATCTATCAAAGTATTCCAAGTTATCCAACTAAAGAAAGGGGTGCAGGGGCAACAAAAAGTCCAGCTGGCAGTGGCCACTGGGTCACATAGCATCTTCAGAGGCTCCATACTTTGTACCCTGTTTCTTTGTTTGTTTTTTGTTTTCTGAGACAGGGTTTCTCTGTATAGCCCCGGCTATCCTGGAACTCACTCTGTAGACCAGGCTGGCCTCGAACTCAGAAATCCGCCTGCCTCTACCTCCCAAGTGCTGGGATTAAAGGCGTGCGCCACCACTGCCCGGCTCTGTTTTTTGTTTGTTTGTTTGTTTTTTGTTTTTTGCCCTGTTTCTTTCAGATGTGCTGTTTAGAAACTAAGGACACTTTGCAGCCTGTGTGCCTAGGTGCAACTGTAAAGCAATTTGATAGCATCTATAAAATTTGGGAATGCGAACGCTGTACCCTACTTCCAGAAATTCAATTTGTGGAATTCATCTACAGTGTGTACTTACGCTTATGTGCAAAACAGGGTAACAAGATGAATCACGGTGGCCTTATCTGTAACAGCAAAACGTTGAACAAGGCTGGTCTCCAGCAGGGCACTGGTTAGATAAGGCATGGTACCTATGAAAGACAAGCTAGCTCACAGTTAAACACGAGTCAAGACCAAGGAAGCAGCTTTCCATCCATAGTTATCGGAGCCTCCGAATGCCTAAGTGACAAACAAACGAAGTTCAGATCAGAGTGGGTGATCATTTATACATACAAAGGGGCCGTTTCAGAGGGACACACAGAAGCTGTAAGCATTGGCTGTCGCTGGGACTAGGAGCCTGGTGACAGAAAGGTGGCAGAAGGAGGCTTCACTGAATCCCCCTGAATGCTTTGCATTTTGAACTATGTCAAAATTGGTGCAATAAGAACTAAAAAATGGGGCTGGTGAGATGGCTCAGTGGTTAAGAGCACTGACTGTTCTTCCAGAGGTCATGAGTTCAAATCCCAGCAACCACATGGTGGCTCACAACCATCTGCAATGAGATCTGATGCCCTCTTGTGGGGTGTCTGAAGACAGCTACAGTGTACTTATAATAAATAAATAAATAAAGTTAAAAAAAAAAAAAAAAAAAAAGAACTAAAAAATGACTTTATTTAAAAAAGAAAAGAAAAAGCTAGACACTTTTTGAGGTGTGTGTGGTCACTTACTACTTAGTTTGGGGGAATTATTCTGCTCACTGTCTTGACTTCTTCATGCTGTTTCCTTCCTTTGCCTCACAGAGTCTACAGAGCAGACTTCGTCCCATTGACTCCAGGACTGAAGAAAATACAAAAATATAAAACTTGAGTCTCAGATTTTTCATAGGAACAGATT